GGGATGGGATGGGATGGGATGGGATGGGATGGGATGGGATGGGATGGATGAGGGACCTGGCACTGCACTTCTGCTGCTGCTCTGCATGAATTCACAGGAACTGCTGAAAAATTTTACCAGACTATTTTCCAAAACTGCTTTAAAACCCAAACCTAAGCCTACGTTAAATGAACAATTGCCCTGTGAAGCTGAGTGGCCACTTGAAAGTCTGGCTGGCACGGGCAGTCACAGAGAAAGGAGCTCATGATTCTGCAGGCACCCGTCATGAATGTCGACTCTGTTTGGCTGTGCAAAAAATGTCTCAAAAGGAAACCACAAGAGCGATCACATCTTCATCTGACAAACTGCATCAGACAGAGAGGGAAGAGATGAATGAGGAACTGTTAAATGGTTCTTTCCAGCTTTTGATTTTACAGCTCGAGCCAGGAGTGGATTTTTCCCCCTCAGATACTCTGAATTACTCTCTGAGAGGGAAGCAGAACCAGGAATCCCCTTTGGGCACCGCTGACATTTGGGGATTTCTGTGTGGGTTACCATTCACCTGCCAGTCCCTCACATGTCTGTGCCAGCACCACGTCCCCCAGGCAGCCACCAGAGTCCCAAAAGGGAACTGGAGCTTCCTTTGGTGGTGGGAAGCCCCAGCAGTGGCCACCAGCCACCTCAGGCACCCGGGGCTGGCCCCAAATCCCTGTGGGGCTCCTCCACCACCCCCAGCCACACCAGCCCACCCTGGCAGCTCTTCCTCTGCCCACCAGAAGCTGCCACCACACGCGGGGCAAGGCTCCTGTTGGGCTGTGGGATCCGGGTCAACCGGGGTACAAAGCTGCGCCACCGAGGCCCAGGAAGGGAAACCACGTGCAAAGCTCACCCCAAAACCTGACCTCAGCCCAGGGCTGGCTCAACACCCACCCACGGCTGCTCCGTGAGCACGGGCAGCTCATCTCCCCTGGCACAGCGGGCACGGAAGCCCAGCAAGGTTCTGTTTGCTTTGGCAGTCAGGGAGTGGCACGGGGGGCATCGGTTCCAGCTCCTGCCCGGCCACCAGCACGGATGTCACCGCGTGCCACAGCGCTGCCACTCACCCAGGACAGCAGCCAGGAAGGCAGCAGGGACCCCAGCAAAGCCTTTGGCTGCCTCCCCCACCCCATCTCTCCGTGCTGACATGGGTTTGGCCTGGAAGCCAGGAAGGGGATGGTGTCCCTGCAGCCCCAGCTCACGCTGGGCAGGAGCCACAAATGCTGAACTGGTTTAAGACATGGGGAACTGGGCTGAGACAGCCAAACTGGGGCTCTGAACCCCCAGGCTGGAGCAGTGATGAGCCCTGACAGATCTAGGAGGGAGTGTGAGACCTGGGAGAAGGGCTCCAAAGGGAGTTCCCCCAGCCCAGTGAAAAGAGCAAAAAAAGTCCCTTTTTGCTCAGTGGGCTTTGGCCAACTCAGAATGTTACACACATTTATGGGACAGCAGCATGCTCACCCCAGTTTACCCACACTGGTGGCCCCTGCACTTGTTTGGAGTTAAGCTGATGCATTTCTTTAGTTGTAAGCACTCGTTTGTCACTGATTCCCTGGGAACACAGAGCCAGGAAAGGAGGGACTTCACCACTGAATAAACCAGTGAATATATACAGGAGTATTTCCTAAGCTGGGATTTTTATTTTGCACCTCCATTCCATACTCTGGCCCAGCAGTGTCCAATCCCCTCCATCCAACAAGGGTGGGGATCCCTCTGGGTGCAAGGTGACACATTTATTTTAGGAGGGGCTGAACTCACCAACAGTGGGGCAGATTTATTGAACTGTACCCAAACCCTACACCACTGCCAGCAGTTTGCCATTGCCACCCGAGGAGGATCCAGGAGGATCCAGACCAAGTTTTCTTCCAGGAAACATCTGCTGCCTGTTCCTCAACCCTGCCCAAAACGCCCCTTCCACACCAAGCTGGATGCCCCAGATCCATCCCTGGCCCCGTTTTTCCCCAGCTATGGAGTCGTGGGCCTTCTCCAAGGCCTGGGAAGGACAGCAGCTCCCATCAGGCACACACTGCAGCGTGTGGTTTAACTCTGAGCATGTGACTGCAGCTGGAATTGCTCTTGTGCTGCCCGTTGTGCTGCTCGGGGCCTCTCCCGGGGCACCCCAGGCTGGAGAGCCCCATGGAGCCAGCAGCCATGCCAGCTGGGGCTGCACCTCCCCAGCACAGCTTTGGGAGCTCGTTGAGCACTGCCACAGTGACACAGAGCCAGCACAGGGGTGGCACAGGGCGAGGACAAGCCCCAGGCTCATCCACAGCCTCCAGCCAAGCTCTGGAGCCAGGTGAGAGCCGGGCAGATCCTGCCCACAGCGGGGTTTTTGGGAAGGACCTGGCATTCCTGACCGCCCAAGGCCCTGCACACCTGCACATCTCAGCAGAAAGCCAGGCTGGGGGAGGCAAATTGGGGGCTGTCCTTAGCCTTGGGCATCGGGGCACCACGGCCACAGGGGCACCCTGGCACAGCGCCCTGGGCACGGAGCACCAAAGCCTTCCCCCATTCCACCTCCTGCTCCACGGCGGGAGTTCACAGACGGGAAACGTCCAACAAACACGGCATCCTCTCATCTCAGCAGCACCGGGAGCTGGGCAGGGCTGGCTCCCGAATTTCTGTCACACACACGCACGCACGGAGCGCGGAAGGCAGGAAAATGTCCCCTGCCTCCTGCTCCGAGCCGCATCCTCCGGCGCCGCACGCGGCAGGGGCAGCGGCGCATCCCGGCCCCGTGCCCGGGGAAATTCCCTGGCAGCTCCCCCGGGAAGCGGCACTGCCCGCGGGGCTGGGCAGCGCACCGAGCACCGGCAGCGCACCGAGCACCGGCACCGGTAGCGCCCGCGGTACCGGCACCGCACCGAGCACCGGCAGCGCACCGACACCGGGAACGATTCACCGGCTGCGGGCACGATGCTCTTGAGCTGCCCATCACCTCGACACTGTCTCCATCACCTCGACACTGTCTCCATCACCTCGACACTGCCCATCGCCCGGGCACTGCCCGCCGCACCGGGCGCTGTCCCCGCACCGGGCGCTGTCCCCGCGCCGCCGCTGCCCAGCCCCGCGCCCCCGCGGCCGTTCCGCCTTACCCAGGTGGTCACCCGGAGGAGGGTCTGCGGCTGCTTGAGGAAATCCACGGGGTCGATGGCCCCCCCCGCCCGGCCCGCTCCGAAGGACGCTCCTTCCATCTTCCCCCGCGCCCGCTCCGCGCCCGGCCCAGCCCCGCCGCGCGCGCCCCGCGCCGCCCCCCCGCGCCCCTCCCTCGTGGGCTCGTCCGCAGCGCCGCGTGCGGGCGGCGGGAGGAACCACCCGGCGGCTGGGGGGGAGACGGGGGTGGGGGGCACGGGCAGGTGCGCGCGAACGGCGCGGGGCGCGCTCCCGGCGCTGCGAGACCGAGCACGGCGACAGTGTGACAGTGTGACAGTGTGACACTGTGACA